TCCCTCTCCCTCCTCTCAGCGACCAAATACAACCCTCCCAGCTGGACATTCCAGCGCATGACGTGCCGTGTCCTGCCTAAACATTTCCCATGTTACCGTCATTACCGAAGAGAAATGCTACAAACCTTGTCACTCTCGTTGGCCTCTTCTTTGACGACATTGGTAGCTAGATAACACGCCTTTTCCTTGATTTCACGAACGATTTCAAACTCGCTAGTTCTGTGAAGATCTGTCCCCTCTTTACGCAATAAAAGCCGCAACCATCGAGTGACATCACGCCCTGCGACATCCATCCGCCCAATGCTAAACAGAAACAAGTAAGGCTTTCAAAACGGCTTACAAAGGTCAGATTCAAAACCACACTTTTCAAAAATTCTCAAAAAACTCAGAAACTCACGCATGATCGATTGCAAAGCCTTCATATATGGGTACGACGTGCGTTACACCATCACCAGAATCTAGTACAACACCGGTTGTGCGACCTCAAATTAGAACACATAAATTACTACGTGTGACGCATAAATTGGCACAGGTAGTTTTGTGGGAGCAGAATCTTCCACAGTGAATAGCAGACTGCATCTGGAGATAGCCTACGTCTAACAAGTCTTGTGATTCTAACCGGCACTTCCGATGATAAGAAGGAAGTGAAAGTCTTCAGGACGAGGGTGCCACTCATGATGGGGCCTTCATCTTGTTAGATGCATTCTCCAACTTGTGACTTCAAATATTCTTGAAACCGCAAAATCGCTACCTCAACCTGGTTATGGAGGAGTTTTAGAGTTAGTTCCTACTTGGAGGGGGCATTTCGCTAGAGCCCTTCACCCTGCAAACCCTAGAGAAACTAGTGAAGCCATACATTTGAAGCTCCTGCCATGTCGCGAGTTCACAAGAGTTACAGGTCCAACCTGTGAGGAAAGTGAAGAAACGAGCGAAGCAGCAAACCCCTCCCTCTCCCTAAGACGAACAGCTCCAAATATTCCCTTCGATTCCCATCTATTGAGGTGCATTGGCAGATGGTTTTCATCCTTAAAATCACTAAAAATTGGGTCCGGGAACACATTTCACCCTTGCAATCGCTAATAAAATCGTAACCACGGCCAGTGAAATGGTAGACGAAAGCGTACTTATAGCAGTCCCGTAGAAAATCTACCCTTGCCGCCACATGGTCATGCAGTTCTAGCTTGACTGAACTGACAACGACGGCTCATGGAAAGCAGCACAGAGGAAGCTGCCTGACCTGCTCAACAGCAAGTCGTAATTATTTACCACTTTGGTTGACCAAAATTCCACGAAAGGTAGTGCAATCGAGGCACAACATCCGTCGTGGCATCACTGCGGAGGTGGTTGTATTTTGGCCAATCTGCGAGATTTTTCCTGTCTCACATGCTCTGTTCTGCCCCAGTAGTGGACGGCACTGCAGAACAACCTCGTCCTCAATGGGCAAGTTTGAGATTAATACGTATGTGTCAGGGAGCCTTACAATTAAATAGAGGAAAAATTTGAAAGGGACGCACTCTCTCAAAAACAATTGGGCGGGGTCGCACTTTCCCAAAATTTACGCCGCGCGATGATGCTCCCTGTGTGCAACACTTTCTCTCGTGAATTGATTATGGCTGCCATGATTAGTGCCAAAATATGAAATAGAACCAGCTCTACAATGATCTTATCTTGCGGAGTACCGCGCTTTTTAGAAAATAAAAAGACACGAAAATTTCGTGAATACACGAAAATAGCAGGGTTGGGTGGACCTCAATCGATCGCGGGAAGAAAGAACAGATTCAAGAAAACGCAGAGCTTGCTGAGCACAAGTGCGCAGCAATGCTATCCCATCTTGTGCATGGTGCAATGCTATTCCCATCTGACGGGTCTGGTAACGCCTCAGGTAGATTGATACTTTTCAACACTCGTGCTTCAAACTGTGTGAGAACGGCTGAGACAAACAGTGTGCTCTGCCTTCGAAGTAGCCCAGAATGTCATTCTCTAGAAGGACTTACGCAAATAACGCTTCTTACACTCATGTTCGCTGAGGACGAAGGGGCGTGGTCAGGCGGAATATGTCTGGCGCGGCGCCAAACCCGTTCTCCATCAGTTGTTACAACGAGTAAGCGACAACAATGGATGGAAAACAATTGATACAAACGACATGATAGTCTTGCTTATCGTCCGCTTCAAGGAAGCGAGATATCAGAGAATGCTAACACTGACCGGAAGAATACAGCGACAACACAGCTTGCATTTGAATGTGTAGAGCAGGTACGTTGAAAGATTCGAAGAAGATTTCTGCTGCCTATAAGCTCTATTTTCGTGAAAGAAAAACAGTTTCGGACATCAAAATTCGATGATTTAGCCAGCTAATACCTTTTCTTTGTGCTTCATTGGATTCAACGGTGCCTCTGTTAAAAGTACGGGATGTTCTTCAGGGAAAATCTGCAATAAACATGTACATGGATAATGAATATACCAGAAACCTGCGCTAGCAGCATTGCAAATGGTATTTAAAGGAGTTCTTGGACAAAACTTGGATTAACTTTATCAAAATAGAATTTTTGTGCTTGAAACTGATTCACTCTCGGATCCTTCCCTTAAAGGCAGTTGGCACGATAAATCCCCAAGACGACTAGGATCAATACTCCTGGCAGGATAGAATTCCGCGACCCTGGGCAGGCGCTGCATAGCGGTTTCCCCGAGGAAGGTGCCCTTATAAGGGCCCTATCAAGCCACAACTTTACGTCCCAAACGCCCGCCACGCCCGCCCGCCCACAAATGGACGACCGTTCCTGACGCTCTAATCGATTCATTTGCTAAGCAAATTATGAAGCGAAGGGATTGGTATGAAGCGGCCGTGATGCTGCATGCATACATGGGTACACATATGCAGCCGTATCTTCGGTAGCGGTGATTGGTAAGATGCCTACGGGAAACCGATTCCATGCAAGGAATTGGGAATGAGGCTTTTTCTTCCGCAAAGTATTTTGAACGCGTATTCACTCCGTTCTTTCGCCATTTCCCCCACTATACAGCGCCCTACCTAAATTTTAGGCTAACAAGGGAACCCCAACAGGTCGATCCGGCCATTTGCAGTGAGATGTATAAATATGGACGTGTCTTGAGCCGCTGAATCCAAATCTGACCTTCTATTTTGCGGAACGATTCTCCAAAGGGAGTTACGGACCATTTAATCTTCGCTCCGTCTGCACAAGTTGAGAAGGATAACTGCAAACCGCAAGCCGCCGATGGCCTAGTGGATAAGTGCATTGCTTCGGAGACACGATAATTGATGTTTGGATGCCATTGGTTCTTGTAACGTTTTTGCTTTTCATTCAAAACACTGCTATCGAACCCTCCAAATTCTGTTTGGCCATTTGCACACTGGTTTGATTATTTGCCAACGGAAGGCGGGCAATTCCCCATGAGTGGGTTATTCTTGAAAACTTTTTTATTATGAGTATAACCGCATGTCACAGGGTTTTTGCAGTGAAATACCATCATATTCATGTTCAGCGAGTCAACTACCCCTGGAGACAAGTTTCTAGCCGAATCTGATATTTCGACCGAACTTGGAAAATGTGTGCTGTTTCATGGGTAATCAGAAGCAGAGGGGAGCTCACCTGCCATCAAATGGTCCTTGAGACTGGAACTCGCTCGGTGGTAAAAGAGGACAATCGATGCAGACGGCATGATAAGTAAGCCGGGTATTGTCTTCGCAGAAAAAGGAATGAAGAGGTATTTTCAGTTTGAAGACCAGTCATCACCCGTATGCTAGTCGTAGTATCGCTGTGGCTATCAGTCAGCCATAGCTATTCATAACCCATTTTCTCGAAAATGATGAGTTAGAACCTCGGATTCCGCTAGGGTGACGTCTCTAGGGGTTATTCGACCCTCCTGAACACGAATATGATACCTGTTTTGCGCGAAGAGAGCGCTGTGAGTCGCGCTACCGGTGCCAACGCTTCGGTGCCAGCGCGCCCGGAAGAAAAGCAATAAAGAAAAACCTCCATAACTCCGCTCAGAGAATCGTTCCGCAAATTTTAAAGATAGTCTTGAGTTCACCGTGTCAAGATGAGTACAATGATGTACATGTCGTTGCAAATGGCCGAGCTGACGTATTGGCCTTTCCTGGTCAGCTTGTGCAAACACAGCAAAGATTAAATGGTCCGTAACTCCCTTCAGAGAATCGTTCCGCAAAATCGGAGGGCAGATTTGGATTCAGCGGCTCAAGACCGTCCATATATATACATCTCATTGTAAATGGCCGGATCGACCTGTTGGGGTTCCCTTGTAAGTAGGAAACCATCGTGTCAACTGCCTTTAAGCTTAGGTGAAAGTCCTCAATCCCATTACTGTGAATTCAGTGTTGCGCAACTAGCCCTACCCCCTTCAAGATCTTTAGTGTCCTAGAAACATGGTAATTAGTCCGTCTTTCTTCAGGAAAGAAGAAGAAAATAGGCAACTGATTAGTATCCCGGAGATGGGCAGGACGTGGATGTGTACTTCATTGAAATATGGCATAGGATGCGACTTTATACGGTGTATTCCCTTTACGCAACTGTGATGCCATCTTGTAATGGACAAAAGCACGATCACAGTTGTCCCCGAACAGCAATATGCAACCAAAATCGCAGCCGCTACCACGATCAAATGGGTATGTGGCCACGCCCTTTCCACCTCGATATGGAGGGTAGTTGACTCGAGATACTGTAGTCCTTCTACGTTAAATTAATTAGGTCCCTGAGCGAACGCCGCGAATGATGCCACTTGCAACGGCGCATTCGTCGCATTGCCGCCACGTGGATCTCCCAGCCGACACCTTACAACCATGTCAGAAGCTTAGTTTTGTTAAGAGTCTGTTCATACTTCGCGATCCCGTCGCGCTATCCAAGTGATCGATCGCGAAGTATGAACCCGCTCTAAACGACTCTCGTATAACTGTTACCTCTAACAAGGTTCGCAACTCACATTCATTTGTTCTTGACTATATATGTACTGCCAGACTTTCTCCATATCATTCCAATCTGTGACTATACCATGTTCCATAGGATATTTCAGTGAGAGAAGTCCTCGATACTCCTCGGCCTTTGGACCTTAACGACCAAGGTATTTCCAGTTGCACAAAGAGAAATAGGAAGACATGCACCAGATCAACCCCATGACCTACCTATGAACATGTCGCCTTCTAGCGCTCCAGCCATAACTCTTGTATGCTTCGGCCTACCCACAAAATTTGCGAATCGAACTTTCGGAGACTGTCCACCGGCAAAGCCGGCTTTAATCGAGCCCGAACCATTGTCGATGACCACGGGTTGGTTTGCGATGACGTCATAGTCCATAGTGACTCGCAAAGAACCCGAACGGGTGTCTCCTTCTGAATAGGAATGAGGAAATGCTTTTGGAGCAGGAAAAAACCTATGGGCAAAAGACTTGACCAGAGCCAGGGAGCAACTCTGGACTTTACCTTAAGACCACTAGACGTACTAGCTAGGAAAATCAGAGAAGACTGCGTTCATACTCTGAGTGCGTTTTGAGCGTTTCGAGCGTACGCCGGCGACTAAGAAAGCGCACCTTGCGCTCCAGCGTACGCCAGCGTCTACAGTAGTGGAGACTATGGGGAAGTAGGAGGGCAGCAGACTGCTGAGGCCGTCGTGAAATTGCGGCGTGGGCAACAGCACTGAACTGCTAAAGCACAGAATTATGCATTTCTAAACTAGGTGTAGTGCAGTTGTACGGCGCGGTTGCACACGCCGCCATTTCATGACGCCTAATCCAGCAGGCTGCTACTCTCTTACTTGCCCATACTCTCTACTACTGGCATACGCCGGCGTACACTCGAACTGTCGTACGCTGACGCAAAGTATGAACGTAGCCTATGCCAGAGGTCCAGGCCCAATTCCTTTCTGGCTCCTTTGCTCATAACTCAGCATTCTTGTGGTAAGTTCCGGATCGCGAACAGCAGAAACAAACAACGCTTATCATACTTAAACAAAAGATACCTTTATTTGTACAAATACAACAAAGGAACGATAGAGAAATATGATGTTTTCAAAAGCTCACGGAAACACAACCCAATTATTATGTGACAATAACATCAATTATTCCCCTCTCTTCAATAACCCTTAATGAAGTTGCCTGGAAACATCAACAGAAACTTCTTCATCACTTGAAACATAACCACAAAATTCTTCCGACGGAAATCTTCCCAAAAAGTCAGTCTCCGAAAG